ATGGACTTTTAACCTGACCCAGCCTGGCTGTTCTCATGTTTTTAACCGGGTTGACATTGCCTGGAGTGTGTTCGAGTTCAGTCACGCAATCAGCTCTGGCAGCAGTGCTGTAGAGGTGGGGTGCAGTGGCTGGGAAGAGGAATTGCTGTTCACAGCTTGCTTTTCATTCATGCCGGCAAAGCTCAAGCCCCAGTGACTGCTTCATATTGAATCATCCACCTTAAAATAAAACCACTAAGCAAACCACATAGGCAGTTAAGTCCTGACAGAAGCAATAGAGAAGAAAAGGGGAAGGGTGGATATGCATACACATATGTCAGATTAGGGTGGAGGTAATCTAGAACATCTCAAATATAAAGTTGATAGGTTGCAAAAGTCTTATTACTATAAATAAAATGTAAATGACCCATTTTTTGGGAAAAAAAAATCAATAGAGCTTGTCAATCTAAGAATGGCATGACTAAAAAGTATCTAACTATATTGTGGAAACCTGAATATCATTCTTAAGAGGGAGCAAACCCACACACAAGTGCCAGGGCTTTTGTGGCTGCCGTGCCCTTCAGAGTGGGAGGGAGCAGCACCCCCAGCCCTGCCGCTGCTCCTGCAATGCCTGGGGAGAAGCCGCAGTCACCCTCTTCCTACCTCATCGATACTCTGTCAGCTTTCATCTTCATCAGCCCCTGTATTCAGAAACACAAGGACCAGAGCCATGCTCTTACTAATGGCCCTTTGCACAAATTAAGTTATAGAAATTCCTTTAGATACAAAGTTAAAGGAATTTGCTGGGTGATGCCATGGGGTGCAGCTAGGTTCATGCACAGAAGTGCAAGGCATCTTGTTTGTGGATGGGATTAACATCAGTTCAGAGCAGCTACCTGACAGATTCTGATCCGTTCAGATGTGCCTGTGTAGCTACGCCACCAGCTAAAGCCTCCAGCCTTAGGCTATTTGCTGTTTTGTATCCTTGTTTTAGCTACCATCTCTAACACATAAGAAACATGTCATGAGCCATGACAAGCAATTGTGATAAATGCCAACCCTTGTAAACCTTCAGACAAGAGGCTGCATTTCTGTTATGTTTCAGCACATTTGCGGAAGCCATCAGAGGCCAGCAAGGTATAAATAAACACAACAATTCTAATGCCAAGTGCCTACAATTAAAAACAAATTTCTCGTCTGCTCCAGTTACTTGCTTCCCCAAGACCTTTTACCAAACCAAGGAAGACAGTATTTAATCTATTTATTTTTAAGGTTAAGCAAGAACAGTTTTAATGCATTTTTATAAGCCACAGAGAAGTGCACAAGCTCATTTCCCCCTCTTAGGTCACCTTTATCATGAGAGCTTTATTCTAATGAAATATAAATGTGCTTTCTAGTCAACAGTGTTACTGAGGTCCATCAAAGCTTCAGGATTACAAACATTAATTTTACCCTTTTTTTTAGTTGTATTTGCAAAGTGGCTAAAAATGCTGAGCTCCCTTTGCATCATGAGGGCTCTCAAGTACCTCTCTATCGGCTTGTGCCTTGCTGGCGGAGCAGTATATTTGCAGGACACCTCTGAAATACGAAAACGCAGCTTTTTTCCCACAGCACAGAAGTTTTTAATTTTTCAGGTTCTGCATTTTTCCTTCAGCCATTTGTCAGCTTTATGTGTTTCTCCTATTCTTCCACCCCACAATAAAAACAGACGAACACCTCCTGGGGAAAGGCATTCTCCCCCACACCCTACTGATTTTTGTTTTCTGGTAGCCGACATTCTCCATCAAGTCAGATCCTGTACTGGCAAGAATCTGATACTCTGCCTTACCCCACAGCAGGCTCAGGTCTCTACCTTGGTTTTCAAAGCATTTTGTCAGTAGATACGGTGTCCAAATCTCTGAAACAGCCATTCTGGCTCAAGAACTGAAATAGTTGCAATTACTGCTTCTCATATACATACACTAGGAAGCAAACCCAAGCTTCATTTAAACAAAAATAAACTGTTTCACCTGGGTAACCAAAGGCAATGTTTCCCCCTCTCCCAGCATAGCAAACCTTCCTAGTTGGACCCGCTTCACCTCTTGCAGAGGGAGCTGTGGTGTTTGTGTGCTTGTACAGCACTTCCCATGCAATGTAACCCAGTGACTACAGCAGCAGTCCTAGACAAGTAACATGAAAGCTTTAATCAGCCAGTATTTCTAGTACAATGAAATCACTGTGAAGTGCCTCTCCAAGGGCAGAGGTATATCCAGAAATTAAAGTAATTCAGGAACAAATTGCACAGTCCTGGTATTAAGCAAAAATAGTCTTTTTTTACTCTTACTGGTAGTGCTAACCAGCTATCTAGAGGAAGTATTTTGAAACACCATAATTTAAAAACCACCAAACCATCACAGCACAGGACCTTCTGCATAACAGCTTTGGGTTTTGGGCTGCCGATCTCTAGGAAAGCTTTCGGTTAATGAGCTGATTACCCACTGCAGGCAGGTTCCAGCCAGCAGGTTGGGACTGTGCCCCTCGCCTGTGCTCCCCACTCATGAATCCCAGGGTGGATGAGCCAGGCGCCCACGCCATTCACACCGGCCTGGAAGCCACCCAGGGCAGCTGGCCCAATAGCCATGTTCCACTCTTTTCATGCCAAAATAAACTCTTTGTCTGATCTTTGTTGGTTTATTTCCTGGAATTATATGGAGTCTTGGAGAGGGTTAGAAGAACAGTATCCTCAAAAGATACTGTGACTTTTAGTTCCAGAAGTACTTTCTCTGAAATATACTTCACATAGAAATATTCTGAAATATACCAGGCACAGCATACCATAGCTTGATTGCTAACAGTAACTGCTACACTGTGAATTTAACCATCAGCAATAAAATAAAAAAGCATAACCAACCACCTTAATTTACTCTGCTCCTACTGTAGTAAAGGCATTAACTTAAGTTAGACCTTACAGTTATGCCTGATCATGTAGCCATTTTTTACAGTCGTCATCCAAGACGAGGCATAAGGAAATGCAAATTTCCACAACAAGCCTGCACTAGTTAAACTGACTAAAGAGATATCTTTTGTTGGGATCTAAACTGATATTTTAAGTATTTACATTAATGTATTAGGAAAGGCTGGTCAGCACTTCAAAGCTCTATAGGGAGTTTTGTTTATTTAAGGCTGTGATTTTTAACTAAAATATTTCTACCTGCTCAATGTGGGTTGCAATTACACTAGTATAAATGAGACTCCAAGAGCTATCCTCCTTTCCTATTTTCATCTCCTGCAGCTCATTCCTAATCCTACCCCCAACCCATTTTCTACTGACACAACTGTTTATGTAGCCATCCACCAAAAGGAAATGAGAGGCTAATTCAGGTTAAAATCAACTCTTTTGGGGAATGGAGTTTTTATTTATTGCCAGTAGCAGTAGTAATATCTGCCAACACAACTGCTGAGAAATAAGGAAAGATATTTCTTAGAAGTGTATAAGCACTAAGTAAAAAGGTACACAGCACCATACTTTTAGCCCATTTTACAACAAAACAAATGGTTACCTTGAGCCCTTTCTTAAATTAGCCTGTTTTTCTCTGCGCTGAACCACAGCAGAAGCATTTCCATGTTCAGCCATTATAATTCAGGTGGTACTGAAGCAATATCAGGTAAGGGCAAGCAGCTGAGGGGTGTTAACATCGTAAACTACTACAGAGAAGCAATTTAGGTCTGAAATCATGCTTAGATTTGTGTTTACTTTCTGCAGGTCTACATTTACAGATGACTGTGGACATAACCTATGGGTACTTCTACTTCCAGATAAAAATGCATCAAACTTTGTCTAGAATATACTTGTAATACTTATGTTTTCACAAGGATATATTTGCAGATATGCCAGCCACATCTTCTTGGTGCCTCCAGTTTAAGGTATCACATTGTGTGTAGTGCATGTGTTCTGTGTAATAACTTTTGTGCTGTGCTTATAAGCTGCAGATAGACAGATAAAGATATTATGACGCAGTATTATGAACAGGTCAGAAAACAGCTCAAAACCACAAGACTTGTGATCTCAATTTCTAGCAAAATCACTGAAATCACAAGAGATGCTCGGTGAAAATGTTCCCAAAGACCTCAATGGCTTTGGGAGCACACCAATAATTTAAGGCAAATCCACCTCTGTTTTACTCTAGAAATACATTCAACTCTCACTTCACCATATGCAGTTTGCTCTCACTGCAGATTAACTGCACTATACGTGAAGATACCAGAGAGTTAACCCTGTATAGTCAGGTCTGGCCAAGTAGATTTTGTTAGTTCTCATGCAGTGCCCAGAAAACACAGCTCCCTTGCTTCCACTCCAGCTCAGCAATGCAGTTACCTTACGAAAGTGGCTGTGCTATGAAACCCAGACAGAGCTGAGATGACCACATATTTCAGGGCCTTTGCACTGTATCACAGCATTTGCTGTAAATGCTTATACTGTCAAATTATCCATTTGCCTTTCCCCTTCTACTGTCCTGATAACAGACACTTGCCTCTACAGTCATGCAGATGTATTGACAAGTCTTCAGGAAAGAATGCCTTCATGCATGAAGTTGTCCTTTTGCTTTAGCATAAAGAAATACACCTGACTGGGCAGGTACAACACAGCAAAGATGGCATGAGATACTGGTCCATAAAAGAAAACATCGGAAAATTATCAACTTACTTGTCTTAAATGTAAGTGAAATAAAGACACAAGCTTCTTTTATAACGTGCAAGCCCAGAGAAAATAGTGATTTTGGCCAGAAAGAGGCCCAGGTTGACATTCAACTGTAACGCTCTGATTTTATCAGCCAGGTCATTAGCTGTGATGAGCTATGGGAAGCAAAGCTTGGCAGTAATTGCATTGTGCTATATACACAGATTCTCCAACGAGAAAGGAATGAGGTCCACTATCTTTGCTTCTCCATGTTAATAAGACAGCAATGACAAGTTTAATACTTCAATAAATGGCAAAATGGAACAGCATTACAAAACCCCCTCTAAAGTCCAGCCTGACTCACCTGACTTCCTTGCTTTCAAGGCAATGACAGCAGCCAGTTCTCTCTGTACCTAAGATACCAGGAAAGGAAAGGATGGTTATAGTTACTAGCACAGTCAAACAAAACAAAATGCAACGCTGGTATAATCAACCGGAATCAATCCCTTGGAGCAGTCAACTCCATGTGGAACTGTGGAGGTACTTGGTTTTGAAATTACAGTCACTTTTCCTAGCAAATCTATTTGCTTTTCAGTTGGGAATTCTGTGACAACTATTTTTTTTTTTGCTTTAATTTCATGTAACTACTGCACATTCCTTAGGGAGTGGGCAATTCAGTAGCCTGACCTGTAATTTATTTGCACAGCATATCTCTTTCACAAGCACACACTTGAAGCTTCTTCCTTTCCTTGTTAAATGTTTGTTTTGCCTCTGCTGAGCACACTGTAACGCTGGATTTATTGTGTGACTCCAGGGTAAGCAAGTTCTCCATGCAGAGGTTTGGCTGAGGTTCACGTATATAATTGACATTCGCTTTTTGGAGCTTTCAGGAGGAAACAACCTCTCCTAATAGCATGGCTGAGCATTCAGGACCAAAATTTAGCTTGAGATGAACTTGCAGAAGTAAGAGCTATCTGTTTTCCAGATTTACAGGCTATCTCACCAGCCTGTAATGAAACAGCCCTGCCATGCTAGCCAGCTCCCTTTCTCAGCCTTTTGTCTCTGCATTCTTCATGTTTTCCCTGTAATCTCTACACAACCAGCTATTGTCCCTTTAGCCAGCTCAAATCTATATCCACTTCTCTCCATAGGTCTGTTCCTTTTTCTATCTGTAAAATTCTGTGTTATGCATTATTTTTATGCTTCATACTTCCTCACTGCCATCGTCTGTCCCATTGCAGCTGCTTCAAGTGCCCTGCACATGACCTGCAGCACCCCAGACACTCTCTCCTGCATACACCTCAGTTCTTCCCTTCCTCTGCCCCATCCATGCTCTCAGACTCTTCTGCACACCTCCCAGCTTCTTCCAAGTTCCCTCATTTTCCCGAGACAGCCTGTCTTTAGTATTAAAAAAAAATTATAAGACATTCCAACTGTTTTTCTAGGGATTGTCTTACCTCTCTGTACAAAGTCTCCTGCAGTGCCTACTAGCCATCTTGTCTAACAGACCTATGCAAAGCTCAAGGCTATTCTGCAGTGGGAGTTTTGACATTCAGTTTCTGAGAGCATGTGAAATTCAGAACATCTTTCACAAGACATGTCGTATGATCAGAATAAGGCACAAAGCCCATGAAGGATCCCTAAAGTAATATAATTACCAACAACTGTCAACATCCCACTCTCGCAACTCTGAAGAAAAGTTTGAAAATGTGAAACAAGAATAGTTAACGTTATATTGGTCTGAGCAGAAAGGCAGACAAGATCCCAGGACATCTCAGTACAATGGTAACTCCAACATCCACTGATCAGGTACTCAGCAGCCACCCAGGAGTACACGCTACATGTGGCAGAAGGCAGTCATACCAGAGGCCACATCCTTCCTCTGCTTGCATCCTTCCTTCCCTTGTGGCAAAGGACCAGGGAGCTTTTTTTGCTGTCCTTGCATGGTACAAGGATCTTTTCTACTCCTTGATTCTGCCTCATTGCGAGGGACAGAGTATTCTGCCACACCAAGCAGGAAAATATGAAGGCAGTGCCACAGTTTTCTTAAATGTTGTCATGTTTCCAGCACAATTGTGCAAGTTAGCAGTATTACCTTCCCTTCCTTCCTTCCTGTACACTCATTCCCACGTCTAGAGAACTGTTAATCATGGTTAATGTAAGCATAAACTGCAAGTAAGATGGGAAAGAACAGTTGTTCTGCGAAAAACCAACTTGTGTGCTTGCTCGCTCGCTTGCAGCAATTTATATACAGTAATATATACATACAAGCTATCCAGAGTTAGAGCGGGATTTTCAATAAAAGCCCATTGTTTCAGAATAACACAACCACAACTTTTCGTGGCTAAACTGCACAGAACCTCTCCCTTCATTAAACTCAGCAGGAGGTACCAATGTCGGTGCCCCAATCCTGGTCTATTCTCACAGGTTACTGACAGTAAGAACAGTGCACTGATGTCTCATCTTCTAGCATTTAATAAACACATTATCTCAAGATTAGCCTTAGGAGACACCACAGTCCGCAACAGTTCTAAACATACCAATTAACCCAATCAAACAATTGAAAAATGCAAATCTCTCAGTGAGTGTAAAGAAAACCCCATCTTCTCAGAAGAAAAAGCAGCATTGTGGCATCCTGTGATTATATTTGCAGTGTTACTTTTGCTTGAAAAGGTAGCACTTTTCAACTTTGAAAGACAGTGCTAACACTACAGGCAACAAAAAGGCTGTTTTTCTGTATTTTGTCTATGTTATACAAAATATTTAATTGTTTGTTTTGTGACAGGAATGCAGCTGGCATATTACTTAATCTGGGCAAAACTCTTCAGTTAAAGCAGAAGGAAAAAAAAATGTTCCTCTAGTCTTAATCTTAAGCAAAAGTTCCTTCATCGAAGAATTTCATCCTGACAGTCTGAGCAACTCCTCATAGGACTCACTCAAATCACAAAGAATTGGTACTGCTGAGCATCCTTCTGGATTTGCCTGGTGTCCCTAGATTTCATAATCTATATGCTTTTGTCTATTTTAGCATACATGCACTTGACATCTCTGCTGGACATGCAATTCCTATGCATCATTACACCGATGGAAATCCATGTACAACATTCATTCCTCACTGCACACATGCTACACATTATCATACTTCTTCCTAATAGGATTTCAGTTACTGCCTGTTTGACAAAATCGATAGTTGCACATCACATCGAAGATAATAATGTGGACTCAAAGTAAAATACACATTCAGACAAGAGTTATGTCTACCATATTGAGATATTAAATACAAGAAATTGGTTTATACATATAGCTTGTCGCTACAAAGCTACTATTATCTAAATAGTATTCCATTTTCAGTAGTATTGCAGATGTCAAAACTGATTTATTTTAAAGGCCAGCTTACTGCACAGTATTTACAGAAATATTATGAAAGTCTGAAAGAGAACATTTTGAGTGTGTTGTTGGCATGTTACCACATCTTAACCAGTTTTCTTTTTACAATGTGAAAACGCAAGAGTGTGCATACAGAGTGGTACCCATGTATACTTCTGCTCGATTAAATACAAATGGCATATTTATATGGTGAATCATCTCATCTTCAAAGGACAGAGGCAGAGATTTTTCAAAAGTAAATGACATCTACTGTTCTTCTCTTATCCATGAATCCGGTCATTTTATCATAGAAGGCATAGTCGTGGATCTAGCAGACAGTGCATACCACCTCTACTTTTTTCCCCTCTGTTTTTTCTGCCCATAGCAGCCTTCTGTGAAACAGTATTCTAGATGTCAATGTGCCAAATAGTACTTCAGATCTAGAGACAAATTGGCAATCCTTACAGGATCCTAAAATGAAACCCTGCAACAGAAATCTCTAAACTGCAGGGTTTTGAAAAAGAAAAAATTCTACTTCACATTTTTGCATCTCAAGTAATGATCGTTTGATGGACTCTAAATAAAAGTAGTATTGGCTGACGTCTTAAAGTACCAGAAAACTGTATTTCCCAGATACACTGCATAAACATCCTGATACTCTCTTCTGTTCCATCACAAGGTAAGGTAACAGTTTTGCAGAGGAAACACTCATAGCCATGCCACTGTGCTCTGGTTTTAGCAGACAAGACATCAAATATGAAGCTGCTCTTTGGGACGTGTCATGGGATGCATGACAGCTCTGGAATTCTTTAAACCCAGGAGTAATCACTGCATTTTCTTAAAAATTCATGAGCAAAAAAGATTATCTGATGCAAACATAATTCAGATGGCACTTTGCACTGCTTGCATGTCAGCTGCCTTTACAATTTAAGTATGATGGTGTTGTCAGTGCCTCATTGTAATGGAGCATATGATATGAGCATAAATTCGATAGGCTCCATTCAGTTATCTTGACTGACTGTGCTTCTTGCATTGTAGAGTAAAGCATAAAGAAAAAGTGAGACCCCTGAAGTTAGTTTCTTATCTTTCATATCTGACTCTGCTCTTAAAAGAGGTGTATTCCACACATTATGCACAAATTAAGATGATAAAGAAACCTCTGCAGTTTTTTCCCCTGCTGCCCTTCTGACTTGGCATCATTCACCACAGCTATCGCTATTATCTTCTACAATCTCCATAACCATTGTTTAAAACCAAGAGTGCATTTCCCTAACTAATCAGTTCTAGACTGGCTGAATCATTAAAAAAAAAAAAAAAAAAAGTCACAAATTGTGCAGTGAATGGAACTCTACAAGAGAAAAAACACCTGGTAACAAAAAGCAGTAGGGAATAAGTAATGAGAGAAAAGCCAACAAAGAAAGTCAGGCTACAGTAAAGAAAAAGAGGTGGAGAGAGGAATTCACCAAACTTGTACAGATGCCTGTGTCTGTGCTAGTCACTTCATAAAGAGTGCATACCTTATCAGCAGAGCCTAAGGTATAACTGCTTTTCCCTAAAGTAGACTTTCAAAATGAGTCATATATTCAGTATCCCAAAAGTGCCTATTTCTGCTTCCTGGCTGTAAGGAGTGCCTGAGGAAGCTAGCTCAGATGTAGATGCCTGCCATATGGCCCCTTATATTTTGGTGAGGTGAGTTTCACCCTCTGCAACAGCAATAGCTTTTAGAGTTACAGAAATATGTAATTAGACCTTACATGCATGCATGCTTACAGTTTTTCCTGCACTTTCAGATGCTAAAACAGTGATTTATATTTTAGGCACATAGATTGCTCCAATATTGCTTGGGCTGGATCTTCATAATCAGTTTAGGTTTCAAAACTTGGGAATTTAATCCCCAAAAAAGAAAAGTTGACACAGAAGTGTCCTTCTGACCTGACACAGATATTTTATTCCATTACAAGAAAAGCAAAAAGAAAAGGAGAAGAGATGATGGTACTATCAACACTGATGGCATTTAAACCTCCAAACCTAGAAATATACAAAAAAAGTAAACTCTAAACTCTGACTGCTTTAGTGCTGGGCTGGAATTAAGGTTTTTAGTTCTTTTTTTTTCTCTTATGAAACACTGGTCTGAAGAGTACTGTGAACAGGATTCTGAATTATGAATTCTTCAAGGAAGACTGGTTTGATTCTGTACAAAATACGTAAACATTCAGTGAGCCAAAAAGCAAGAGAGTGTGAAGAGGTTTCCAGTCATGGATAGTACATTCACTTTTGGTTTCCAGCTCCTGCTCACAGGACTTTTTTTTTCCATACAAATTCTGAAGCTGGCAGCAAAAAAAAAAAAATTTGAGAACCTGTATCCTCGTGAGTCCAGCCCTCTGCTGAGCAGTGCAAGCTAGAGGGTTCACATTCCCTTGGAACGCATAAAGGCTCTCCATAAACATGTAGTGAGTACTTTAGATCCCAGCCTACTCTATGGAGGAAAAGCAATATTCTGGAGGGATAGATGGAGAAGTTCATATACAGATGTAAATATCTGGAGGATTCTGCTCTGGTCTTATGTCTTTTCTCCAGGGTTAGACTAGAAGATTGTTACAGAAAGCCTGCACAGGTTTGTGGAAAATCAGAAAATGCAGGAGAAAAGATCAGTCTTTTCGACACCACCATGGCAATAGATGAGTCTCAGGCCATCTGGAGATGCAACTGCCTAATTTTTCTTTAGCTAGTTAGCTACAGCAATAAAATGGTTCATTTAAAAAAAAAAACTGCCTATGTGCCCTGATGCTGGAATCACTCAGGATGTAGTTCAAAGGTTTGACCTTGCAAGCTAGATGTGAAGCACTCTGAACTCACTGTCAATTACTCACATGTTTAAGGATATGCATTTTACTCAAGTATATCGAGCACTTGAGTAGTTAGATCCAGTTCTTAAACTCAGAAAGTCACTTTGTTTTGTCGAGTGCTTCCCTTTTTTTAATTGATGGAAAACCATTATTCTTCTATTTTTGAGAGACGAAGCTTTTGAGGGATACTGGCAATGCTTTATAGAGTTGGTAGTTTTGTGGGTTTTTGAAATGATACAACTCTGCAAAAAATATTTTATGTTTTTCTATTTTTTTCTCTCTATGGAACTGAAAATGTAGGATATTGAGGTTCTCAGTTCTTTCATTTTCAGTTAGGAAAAAAAGGTAGAGAAAACAATAAATTTGAATATAGAGAAAATAAAAAAAAAAACAAAAAACAAATTTGAAACACAAAATTTTCTGTTGTCATACATTTAACATTATTTTTGCATAAGGTTGAACATACACAACACTGGCTTTCCAAACACATTACAAAATGTCTTTTGTAAAGACATTTGTCTTTACAAAATATAGCACAAATTCTCCTTCTTTTCCATTTTTCAGCAATTTCAAGATAGTACTTCATTCATTTTACTTAAAATAGCTCTTATCCTCATGCCTTTTTCATGACAACTTCATCCTGCTTAGTCCACTTTCATCTCTGTACTTTCTCACGTACTCAAAACAGAACTAGCACTAATTCTGTGTTTTGCTGATACCATGATTTAGGTGTGATGTTCGCAGAACCATACAATCACAGAATGGCTGATGTAGAAAAGCATCTCTGGAGGTCATCTGATCCAAACCCCTGCTCAAAAGCAGGGTCAGCTAAAGCAGGTTGCTCAGGACCATGTCCACTTGAGTTCTTAACCTCTCCAAGGATGGAGGCTCTACTACCTCTCTGAGTAACCTGTTCTATTGTTCGATGACTCTCACAGTAAATAAGTTTTTTCTTATGTTTAAGTAGAATTTCTTGAATTTCAGTTTATACCACTGCTTCTTGTCCTGTCACAAGACATGAGCTGGGCTCTGTCTTCTTTATTCCCTTCCATCAGGTATTTATATACATTGATAAGATCCTTCCACAGCCTTCTGTTCTCCAAGCGCAATTTCCAGTTCTCTCAGCCTCTCCTTGTAAGTAAGTCGGATACTCTACTCCCCTGATCATCTTCAGGGTCATTCGCATGCACTCCAGTACGTCCACATGTCTCTTGCACTCGGAGTTCAGAACTGGACCCAGCACTCCAGATGTGTCACACATAGAGGGTGATGCTGTGTAGAGGGGGATGATCACCTCCCTTAGGCTGAGGGTAACACTCTTATTAACGTGTCCCAGGAGGCAGTTGGGTTTCTTGGGGCACAAAGATACATTTCTGGCTCATGTTCACCCTGCTGTCCACCAGGACCCCCAGGTCCTTTTCTGCAAAGCTGCTCTTCAGACAGACGGTCCCCAGCCTGTACAGGAGCATGAGGTTCTTTCTCCCAGATGCAGGACATTGCGTTGCCTTTTGTGGAACTTCACGAGA